GTGCACTTTTACGAAGACAAACAGTATGTACTGATTGTTGATCACCTTGTTGAAAACTGATGATTTGTTTTCCCTTTTTCATTAGTATCACAAAATGTTTAAACGGAACATTATTTACAGCCGATGAAACGACAAAAATATGCAGTCTGATGAGCGAAACTTTGAGTCTAGCTACCAGTAAGACAACTGTCGCGTCATCAAAATCGTGCCATTCAATGGCGGCACTGTTTGTGAAGAAGAGCGGTCAAATTCGAGTAACCAGCGCCGTTTCGGAAACAACCACCAGTCCGCTGAATCATGCCGTTATCATGGCCATTGATCAGGTGGCAAACATTCACAGAGACGTTAAAGATGGTGAAAAAACGGTAGACCCCGATTTACGCCATTTCGAAGACGACTACCTGTGCACCAACTACGACTGCTACTTGAGCCAGGATCCGTGCATCATGTGCGCAATGGCCCTAGTGCACTCGAGAGTTAAGCGAGTTTTCATCTTCAACCAGCCGTCTGATCAGCGAGCTGAAGAGTGTGACGACGAAGCTTATCACCTGCACAAACTGCACCTACTGCCCAATTTGAATCACAAGTACGAAGTTTGGAGGCTTTCCACGAGTTCAGTTGAGAACTCAGATGAAAGCTATCCTAGCAAAAGGGTCAAGACTAACTGTGATTCTAAATGATAATTGCAGTAAACTCTCTTTTGTATAGAGTAATTCTTTTTTTATTGTGGGAGCAGAGAATCACAATTGGGTAGGGGTGTTGGGAGCAAAGAGAACAGACATATGTGAAAACACTGAAAACACAACAGCACAGCCGTTGGTAAAACAATGACTTAGTTGAAAAGGAAAAAGGAGTGGAGGAGGAGGTTGTGGGGAGCAAAAAGAAGCAGCAAAAGACTTTGTGAGTGTGACTGTGTTTTGTGTGAAGCTTTGAAATATACAGGAGAGAGAATGTTGACGAAAAGGCACAAAATCAACAGAAGAAAGAAAGCAGGAGAATGTGTTGGGTTCAGTCGTTGGGAAGGGAGAGAGAGGGGGAGTGGAAGAGGGCAAGTGTTGACTAATACGTAACAATGACCAGATTGGGAAGAGAGTAAGAAAGGGAGAGAGAGATAGTGACGGTGATGACGTTGGCAAATAGTACTTTTTTTGGCGGTTACATGTAACTGGGGGAGTCTTGCCCGGTGAGAAGGCGAAACATCGAAGTGGGCATTGTTTTCATATGAATCTGGTGGTGAGGCAGGGTTAGAAAAATGGAAGAATGTTCAGAGACCTACTTACCTCTCCGACGGAGGTGGCCAGCAGATTGACGATTCGGTCGTGCGGCACGGCAACGACGCTCTGTCCGTTGATTTCGATGATACGGTGACCGACTCGCACTCCGCCACGCTCGGCGATGCCGCCGCGAAGGAGGCTGCAAATCTGGTGAAAAAGGGGAGAAAAGAAAGGATAAAGAATAAAGTGGAAGGGAATCAGGAGAAGACAACAACACCTACCACGCCGTTCTGTACGCTAAATCCGAGCTGGTACTTTGTGTCAGGTCGCTTGATCTTCACCTCCACCACGGGCGCACAAGGAACGATGGTGAACTTGACAGCAGTCTGATTCTTGGTGTTCTGTCGGGTGGAACAAAAAACAACATGTTTGTAAACTAGTGCTTAACTTTGATGGTGTGCAGTGTGACTAGGGAGGGGACTGTACCTTTACATAAGCCTGGCACGTGGACAGTGGCAGCCCCACTAGGCTGATGCCGTTGATGGCGATGATCTGGTCGCCAATGTTCAGCTGGCCACATCGAGCGCTGGGACTGCTCTGTGCCATGTTGGCAATGACCACTGTAGGCAGCATTGATCCCCAGCCTGACTCGACGATGACTATACCGAGAATTTCTCCCTTTTGCTTTGGCACAATCACCTGGAGAAAAGGTGTAAATTGTAATTTAAAACCAGAATCAACACTATTAACACACCTCTTTCTGTCTCTCTCGCTTGGCAAACATCTCCAGCTCGTTGCCAAAGATCTCCTGCGAGTTGAGCACCTCCTGGTAGTCCATCTCTTTGAGGAAGCTACTGTCCTCGATGCCGTTCGCTTTCAAGAACTCCATATACGCCACTTGGAAAGCCTGGCCAATGGACTGAGCAATGTACTGTGCCTCTTCAGACTCAAAGACGTGGCAAATCATCTTGGGAATGCGCTTGATGCCGTTATCATTCGGGTCATCAATGGGCGTCCGCCGACGGGCCATCAACACGAGAAGATCGCCAATGTCGGCAATGTATGATATAGTTCGAAGAGCGTGGTCCATCATAATTTCCTTTACAGAAAAGGGTGATTAGCCTTAGGCCTTGAAAGCAAAACTCGATTAACCAACAAACCTTCAAATCAGTGTTCAAGACCATGATCTTCTCTGTAGATATGAAGAGATCAACTTCAGTGCTAGGCTGATTTTCTCCTTCAGGTGCCTGGTTATAAAAAAAGTTGTTTTAGTTTGTTTTGTAGATTTCACAAATTGTGGTTTTTAAAACTGAAAAGCAAGGTACTTGTAGCACTCACCAGAGACTGGTTTGGTTAGAGCAGCAAAAGAAAAGTTTAGAAAATAATAGTTTGTTAGAAGTTGTTAGATTAGGGAAAGGCAAAAAAGAGAGTTAGAAACCGGACCAAAGTTCTAAGCTGACTAACCTTAATCCTCGACACTGCTTCTTCCGCCTGCATCATTCGCGTCGCTTTCGTCGGTTGGCCATCACAGACAAGTTGAGTAGAGCCGAGGTAGCGAGCGCGAAAGAGAACGCCCTCAATGAGCACTGCCGGTGGAAATGCTGAAGATGAATCAGAAAAAAGGGAGAACAATTAGCAAGCTGGATAAAAAAGGGAAACAGAAAGAACTTACAGAATTAAAAAGATAACATGCAGAAGGGGAAGTTGAAAAAAAGAAGATATAATAGTGAAAAAGAGTGGAAAGGTAGACAGTTAGAAAGTGAAATGAAGACAGTTGGTGCAAGAGAAGGAAAAGAATTCAAAGCACATACCTTCACGTGNAAAGAAGATATAATAGTGAAAAAGAGTGGAAAGGTAGACAGTTAGAAAATGAAATGAATACAGTTGGTGCAAGAGAAGGAAAAGAATTCAAAGCACATACCTTCACGTGAAGTACTGGAACGTTTGAGTTGTGCCTGTGAGAGAGAAAAAAGAAATAAAGAGTTAGCTGCAGCTGACCACTTTCACTGGATTGACCTACAGCAACGTCCTCCTCTGGCGGTGGAACACTACTTTTGCGGAACTGCTGGTACATGAGAAAGTACAGCATTAGATTGTTCGATTGCCGAGGCCCACTAGGGGCCATCATCGTCGATTCAGCTAATGGTGGGGATGGCAATTGCAGTACACTCATGGTGGCACAACTCACACAGCCCACAAACACACATGTACAAAGCGAAACAGCAGAAACAATAACAAACAAAAGAGTGCCAGCATTAACACCGACACCCAAAGGAGAGAGAGAGAGAGAATCAACGAAGCGACACTACTACTGCACTATCACAGCACTTTCACTTCACAATTAAAAGGCACGTACTTTTTCGTCGTAGAATCCTCGGTCATCATTACGTTGGCTCCCCAACAGACGGTCCGTCTCCTGGTCGGTATCACAGTCTGCGAGTAAGAGAGGAAGAGAGAGAAAGAGAGAGAAAGAGAGGTAGTGTCAGTGGTGGTCGTGCGCCTGCATACGCTGTCCTGTACTGCTGCTGCTACTGTCGTACACTACTGACCTTCATCGTGATGATGGCGCACATTCGGCGGGGGCAGCATTCCACCGGTAGCAGCATGAGAACTCGAAGGTGACGTCGACGTGCCCACAGCGGACGCCATTTCCGCTGGCGACTGCTGAACGCCTGATGCTGCTGCCGCCGTTGCCGTCGCTGAAGAACTGCCTGCAGCGGCCGACACAGTGGACACTGCACCAGCAGAACTGCCTGCTGTCTGGTGATAGTGGTGTTGTCCTCCTGCAGACGATTGCTGCTGCTGCTGCTTCTGTGCTGTTGCCTGTGACGCCGAAGGATGTGAGGAAGAGGAGGATGACGAGGCCGAGGATTGCTGGTGGTGCAGGCCCCCGCTACCATCCACTGCAGGACCAGCACTGCCGACACCAGCACGACCGCCGGGTGAATTGGGCGACAGTGAGGTAGGACTGCTGCTCAAGTTGGGGTAGTTCTGTCGGCCCAGAGAAGCTGCCGCTGCTGAAGCTGAAGCACTACCAGCCCCAGCAGATGACTGGTGGTAGTAGTGGTGATAGTGGTGGTGGCTACTGCCACCTCCTGGTGCAGGCGGAGGGGGTGGGGATGAGCTCGAAGACGATTGATGATGATGCTGCTGCTGCTGTTGTTTGCCACCAGTAGACGACGACGACGGACCCAGCTGACTGTTGCGCACTGTGGACATGCTGCTGTTGTTACTGCTGCTGTTGGAGATGGATCGAGTTGCTGCTCCGGTGGTGAGCTCGTCTGTGAACAAAAGTAACCGATTGATTATTAGAATATCACACACTTATTTAGCCAAATCATCATCAGTACCTAGAACAGGATGGTTGTGCAGGTGATGGTTCGAATGGTGGTGGTTGCCGTTGTAAAAGTCATGACTAGCCTCTTTCGTTTTCGTCACCATCTCCCCTGCCATCTCCAGCCCATAGGAGCCCTTGCCGCACCGGTACATCTGTCCGTCTGAAGACTTGTGCGGCCGAGCGTAGTCACCGCCTGGTGGGGGCACTTGCTTCCCATAAGAATGGCCGTAGTTGTAGTTGGCCGAGCCACCACCCGACGCAGTTCCATTGACCATTTGGTCGAGACGAAGCGTGGAAGACGTCGCGTTGCCATACGACCCTGTAGTACTTGTCGTCGTCGATGGTGGTGGTTGTGACTGCATCATCGAAGTTGGCTCACACTGGTTCGATCTGCTGTTGTTGCTGTGGTACTCATTGACGTACTCATCGAGATCATGCTCGTGGGCGACCATCTCATCCTCGCCCTCATCGTCCTCGTCGTACTCGAGCTCATCACTGGAGGGCATTCCCGACGAGAGACCATCCTCGAGAATGGGCATTACCTTGATGCGTCCTCCGTCCCCAGTAGCTCCACCGCCATCGCAGCCACTCTTTCCGGCAGTCTCCGACTCGTAGCTCTCGGTGTTATTGTCGCTCGGATAATCACCCGTTGATTCGTAGGTCGAGTCAAGAACGCCGTAGAATTTGCTGCCGCCATCACCACCAACACCACCAAGACCACTGGTGCTAAGCTCGGGAGAGAGAGCGGTGTAGCTGAGGTGAGGAACTTGAGTGCTAGTTCGTTGTCCTCCTGGTGGCATCATCGTCCCCTTAGTTGACTGTGTTCCCTCCTGAAACCCTGAGCCCCCACCGTTGAGATTGCCACTGCCACCGCTGGCAATGGCTCGATCTGCAGAGTGTGTCAGTCGGTCGGTCGGCCCCCCAGCGACAGCCTTGCCAGGGTAACAACCCGAACTAGTCTTCGAACCCGGTCCGTACAGGTACAGGTCATCATCACTCTGGCCGTAGTAGTAGTCCTTGCTGTTTGGGCACTGCTCCGAACTGCGATAGCTGCTGTCCGTCGACTCGAATGACTGCGATGGTTCCAGATGGTACCGCGTCTGACCGTGAGGGTGATAGCTGCTGCTGCCCACTACGCCTTCTCTCTCCAACCGAAGCGATTTGGGCACATTTCTTGACGCTGATTCCGAGGCCAGCTGGGCAGCACTGTTCAGCTGCTTCACCGAACTGCCGTCCAAGGTGGACTGGCTGCCGATGCTCCGATTGGCCTCACTCAGCGACTGCTGCTGCTTCAGCGAGGTGGAACTTCGATTCAGGCTGCTTCCTCGATCCCCGTGCCCACTGGAGCCGCTAATGGACGTCTTCGACTTGGTCACTGACTCGCTGTCATCCGAGTGGAGGGATCGTTTGCTCGAGTAGCCACTTGACTTGTTGGCATCAACGGCCGAGTAGCCGCCACTGCTGGCGATGCTGCTGTACATTGGCTCAGCGGCAGTACGGCTGTTTGAGGAGCTGTGAATCATGGCACCGATTGCAGGCGGCAGCATCTCCTCGCCAGCGGTTGCCTTGTCACTGGAGGACTCGGTCACATCTTCATCCACGTCATCCTCCGTGTCAATCTGTCCTGAGGGAAGACTGAGAATGGTCTTGACGATCTCCTCAGTCGCTGGAAAATTCGACTCTGCCACGACCTTCCGTGTGGAAGGCGCCACCGCCACTCCGCAACCTTCATCACAGGTATCAATGGCTGACTGGTCTAGTGTACGGTTGCCGCCTCCGCAGTCGGCAGAAAAACAGTGCTCATCATTTGAACGACAGTCGTAGTTGCTGTTGTTGGCAATGTTGTTGTTGTTGTTGCCTCCTCCACCACCGACGGCCTCATTTGCCCATTTGGAAGTGCCAAAGTGATGGTGATGACTAGTGGATGACGACTTTGGAAGCGGATGATGTTGTTGATGTTGATGCTGATGGTGGTGGTGTGCATTGGAAGGACAGGAGAAAGACGATGAACTGTGAATGTCAGTCGAAGAGAAGGTTGCTGAAGAAGTGGAGGAGTGCGTCGATGAGTGCGGTGATCCATTTTCAGAGAGTGACAAGTTGACGAGTTTAGTTTTGTGCTGTTCTAGTTGATCCTGCTCTTCAAGCTGACGCTGATGCTGACGGTGCTCCTCATCATTGTCCGCTGGCAACAAAGTGTCTGCCTTCTTGTTTGGCATCATCAGTATAGAGGGCTCATATTCATTGCTGCAGCTGTTGTTCGATGAGGTTGACAGCACTCGTTTTGGGTAGCCAGGCTTGGGGCCGTACCGTTTGGGGGAGCCTTCATACTGCGCAATCGGCACACTGCCGATGATGCGAGCGATTCTCTCATCGTGACTGGGCGAGGAGGCAGCCCCCTCGAATGACTTTGCCGAGGTTCCGCAGCTGCTGTTGCTGTCCTCTGAATCAACGTCCACCGGTTCTTCCTCCTGGTTGCTGCTGCTCACCACCTCCTCCTCATCGAGTCCTACAGGCGGAACTGCATTCACCACTCTGCTGTCCTCGGGGTCCGTCATTGCCGATGTCGTCGTCTCCAGCAGTTGTTCTTCACTGACAACGGCGGCAGCCTCTCCGGGCATTCTGTGGCAGTGTTGTGCGGCTGACATGGCTGCAGCAGTGCTGGTCGAGGATTCCACAGGCAGTGTCCGTTGGTCGTTGTTGGTGTTGCATGCACCACCGGCATTTGAACGCTGGTTCTTATCTGCCGTGACCACAGGCGACTCCAACGTGTTGACTAGTTGTGGTGGCGGCGGCGGTTGCTGCGGTTGCTGCTGTTGCAGCTGTGTTTGTTGTTGTGATTGTGTCTGTTGTGTCTGCTTCTCTGAATGCAACAGTCTCCCCTCTGATGGCAGCTCTTCGTCGACGACCACTGCTGCTGCTGCTGCCGTTGATTCCCCGGCCACACTGCTGGAGAGTTCACTGTGTTGCGATGTTGGTGCTGCTTCATTAGCACCACCTTCTGTGGCCATCGAGACGCTGTACAGCTGTGTGTGGCGCGAAATAAAGCTGCTGTTGCTGCCGCTGCGACGAGATGAAACAGTAGTAGCCTGAGAAGAAGCTTGATATGGCTGCTGATGATGCTGCTGTTGCTGTTGCAATTCAGCGTTGGTCTTTGCGCTCTGACCATGTCCACTGGTGGCTGCATGGTTTGAACTTCGTCGTTTAGATCGCATACTTCGACTACTGCTAAAGAGCTCCCTGCCGCCAGCAAGTTCAATGCGATTGCGAGCACCAGTGCTAATGTTGCTGGTAGTGGTCGCAGTTGTGGCGGTGTTGGTGGTGGTACCAGCAGCTTTGAATCCCCCATTATCATCATCATCGTCCTCGTTATCACTGATGCTGCCGACGTCCTCCTTGACCATTCGACAATGAGAGGAAGCAACGGCTGCTGTCATCGTCGTCGCAGCTGGCCCTGATGATGCTTGCGGTGGCAATTTATTGACCAGCTCTCGGGCACAGGCGTCGACGAGCTCTTCACGAAGTGCCCTCGCTCGACTGCTTCGCGTCGATTCGACGCTCGTTTCTCGGCGGCTACCAGCTGACATGACAGTAGTCGGCATCACTGTCGCTTCTGCTGAACGCTCTCGAGACGACCGGTGACTGTCGATCAGGTAGGAATTGCTGGAATCTTTCAGGAAGTTCTTTGAAGAAGCAGGTATTGCTGCTGCCGTAGATGATGCAGCTGGTCGAGGCTGGCCATTTGACGAGTGGTGGTGAAATCGACTGAAGAGAACGTCGTCCTCGTCGTCAACGTCCAGTGTGAATCGATTCGACTTTTTGATTCCATTGGAAAGTTGCTGCTGCTGCTGAGACTTGCTATTAGGTGCTTTGTACGGCTGAGGATCGTCCGGACTGAGGAGAAGTGAGTCGAGACGAAAGTGTGCCGCATGTTTACTGTGACTTTGGCTGGCAGAGCTAGCACTCGGAACTTTCTCCATCGGGGGCACATCCCCGTAGTACCTGTGGTCACCTTTGAAGGCATTCGTCGACGCATTCTTCTCCTGTGGGGCCACTCGGTTCAGCTCCAGTGAGTTTATGTCAAAGCGGCCACCTTTCGTAGTGGACTTGAAGTGGTCGCGACAGTTGCTGCTGCTACTGCTGCCATCGTAGCCACTGGTGGTCGACGTCGCCGACTGGTACTGCTCCCCCACCGGACTGGGCCTCTCTTGGCTGGTGCCCGTATACTGGGCTGCCTCACACTGAAGTGGCTGGTCGTGGTGCTCGTATCGCTGAGCACCGCCAGGACAGTCCACCGGCTCCACAGGGGACAGCGGCGGCGGTGAGGGCGAAGGTGATATGTCCATGAAGTTCCACAGACGTCGACTTGGCACGTTCGAGTTGTGGTGGTACGTCGGTGGGTGGCAGGCGTTGAAGCCGCTCTTCCGAACGGCACCCCCTTTGCGGACAGCCGCTGATGGAGGCATTTGAGATGGTGGTTGGGATGGCAGCGGTGGTCCCTCCTGACCGCCCTGATCAGCCTTGTTGAGCATCTCGACGGAGTTTTTCTGCTGGTACGAAGCTGCAACAGCTGAAGCTGGAGCAGTTCCGCCGTTGGTGCGCTCTGTTGAGGACTTAGCGGACGAGGAGGAGGTGGTCGTGGTCGTTTTGCTCGACTTAGGACGACATTTAGGAAAGAGCTTTTCAATTAGTGCCTCATCTTCAATTAAAGTGTCAGAAAGGCAGTTGCTGGACTTGCTGCTGGAGATCGGGTGATGCGATGAGGAGAGGGAAAAGGAAGTTCCGCCACTGCTACCACTTCCGACTTTGTGCTGCTGATGGAAGGAGTACAGCGAGTTACTGGTCGCAAAGCTGCTTCTGCTGCTGCTGCTGCTCTTCTCCGCTGATGAGCGCGTCAGGTCGATTGGCATTGCGCAGCTCCAGTGGTCATTGCATCAATAGTGGAGGAAGTGGAGGTGGTAAGCAAAAAGGAAAGGGCAATGCAAACAGTTGTAGTAGTCTACCGCCAAACGCAGTTCAGCAGCTACTGTAGCTGCTGGAAGTGAGAAGTGAACCAGAGAGAAGTGCGTCTCAGCGGCACTTCATTGCAGAGATCGATGCTGAAATGAGAGAAGGAAGAAGAGACAACACAATCAGGCAGGTAGGCTAAGAGAAGAAGGAAAGGTGGCAAATCGATTGAGCAGTTTCTTTAGAAAAAAATTAGGTTACAGAGTGGACTGCAAATGATTTTCAGCACGGTCTCGTGCCGCCTGTGCACAATGAATGAATGAATGAGTGCCGTCTGTTTCAATGAAAAGGATAGTGTGCCTTGGCTGGTGTTTGGGTTGAGTGAAAAGAATCGAGGTACGAGTGAAAGGTACGACGACGATTAGGCCAAGTGACAGTCAACTGTCGTCGGCGACAGGAGGGAACGGGCAGGAGCAGAGTGGCTACAAACAAAGGAAAAGTGGTGAAGAGACGGTAGCTGCTGCTCGACAAAAGCAGTAGCAGCAGCAGCAGTGCTTGCCAAGTTGCGGCGTCGTTCTGTTGTTGTCTAAGTACCAGAAAGCAGCCCAAAAGAGGCTACTGCTTCTGCTTCTGCTGCTCACTACCACCACGACCACTCTCGAGTGCTCTCTCCTCGTCAGCAAGAATATTCTAAGACGAAGAAGAAGACTCAGCAGAAGAATGCACAGAGATGAGAGAAAGAGGCTCAGTGATGCAGCAGGCAGTGGGCTCCTTGTTGACTTCCTGTGTGAATGTGTACGTGTGTGTGTATGGTGTTTGGTGTGTGTCGGAGTCTGTCCGCTGTGAGCAGCTGCACCGAGTCAGTGCACCGATTCCAGTTGCAAAGGACGATCCAATTGGACACTCACTCACACACACACAAGCACACTACCTTGCTCTATTCAGTCAGCTTTAGGCAAACGCACCCCACCTCAACGCCCCAGTCGGCTATATACCCGATACTGTGACCGTTAGAATCGACGGGTAGCGGCACGAGAGGAAGAAAGAGAAGCCACGGGAAAGGGGGCAGTCAGGCAGGAAAGCGAACGTTGCAGTGAGAGAGAGGGAATCCATTGCCGCCGTCGGGTGGATCACACGGACAGTTAGTTAAAGCGACAGAAGGAAAGAGAGAAAGAGAAAGTGAATCCTCTGCCTCTGTTCTCTTCGTAGGAAGGCAGCCTACCATCACTGCTCTACTACACCTTGCTGCCGACACAATGGCCAGTGGAGAAAGTGAGAGAAAGAGACAGGGAAAAGAGCTTAACCCTAATGCTAATTTATGACACTTCGCGGTTGGCCTATGAGTGGAGGAAAGTGCACATTCGAGAGAAAGGGGAGCAAAGTTTGGTGATAGGTGACAGCGGGAGCCTGATGCCAGCAGACGGGTGACCACCTAATGAGCGCCCTCCACCACTACCTTCTGCTGGCCGACAGGGGCGCCCGAAAAAAGAGGTGTTCGAATGATACGAAACGACACCAAAGACGGTAAAGTGGCATTAGTGATGGCCTCTGGCGGCCCAGTGAGAACAGAAGCAGCAGCTTCGGTTCCCGGTGTCGTTTCACGGCTGATTGGGGGACAGCACTAGACGGTGACTGATAGGGCACCACTCTCTCTCTCTCTCTCTCTCTCACTATGACTAGGACTGTGAGTGTGTGCCCATGAACTGAGTCACCGTTCAGTTTCAATGGAGGAGGAGGAGGGCAAGTGAGAGAAGTTGGCGCCGATTATGCCTCGCTGATGAGCACCGGCGGCGAGGTCGCTCCACTGAGCAGTGAAATAGAATAGAAAAGTGGTGCTTTTCTTGCTCCCACTGATGCCCACTTTGTTACCCACAGAAGCACTTTTTTCCACTGCACTCCGGAGCCCACCATTCATTGGATCTGTTTACAAGGGCCCCCTTCTCTGTCGTACACTGCTTGGAAATCACTCGCTCGGAACATGGAGGAATGTTATTCCTGCCCTGGTCACTGGGCATCACCGCATCAGCACAGTGCATCTCTCCCCTTCAAAGTTAGTCAGCCATCGGGCAGATTGCACTGACAGTGCTGACTTTTAGTGGAAAGCCGCACAGAGACATTTGAGCAACCATTCGCCAATTAGAATGGGGCTGACCAGCTGCTGCTGCCGCTGCCGCTGCAGCGACCCTGCAGTCTACAATTGTTATTGATGGAATTTTCATTAGAGAAGGACGTGGCCTCTCATGCTCACTCGGTTTTTGCCCTTCTCACTGCAAATCGCCTCTAAGCAGCGTCAAACAAAAGAAAATCAATCCTCCTCAAGCGCCTACGCACTCAAATTCCAGCCGACATGTCAACCAGTCGGTAATGGACTCTCTTCGAAAAGGGAAAAAGAAAAAATCTTTCAGGCCATTGACTGAAAGTTGAGAAGCAAAGTGTGGCAGGTTTGAAGGTAGGGTTAGAGGAAGCTTTCAAGTCAAATCAATTTCTCTGCTAAGCTGACGACCCTATTCTCCCCTTCTTTCTCCCTTTCTCCTAGCGTGACAATGCATTCAACGGTAAGTATAATAAATAAAAAAAGCCATATCAAGCTCTGTCGGCGCATATCAAGTAAGTGGGCAATCAATGCGGCTTGGCAAGCAGCAACGGCAGCAGCACTGATTGAGCAAATCTAGCACTTCAGCAGCATCAGCAGCAGCAGGCGTCAAAGTGAACAGACCACTTGCTGCCGCCGAGTGGATCCGCACAGCCCCATCTTCCTCGCAACTCGGAGATGCAATGGATGGTGGCGTGTGATGAAAGGAGAAAGGCAATAAAATGGAAAGCAAGCCCAGGCGTGAATTGGCGTGCCATTGTGCCCTGTGTGTGCCACACTGCTGACATGACAGAAGAGAGTAGAGTAGAGAGTACTCACCGAGGGACTGAACTGCAGTGCAAGCACTGGGAACGGAGGACTCTGAGGGAAGGCTCTGGTTTACAGTCTTTCGTTTCGGCTGTGTGTGTGTGTGTGCTGAGATGCCTGAGACTTTAATTACCGACGCCGACGTGACTTGCCTGGCGAAAGACACTGAACATTGCAGTTTTCGGTTCCATTTGATCAGGACAAGCGTACAGCAGAAGTAAAAGTAGTAGTAGCAAGAGCAGCATCAGTTCGACGACAGCAACAGCGGCCCCTTCCCAAATGATGCCCAACGTTGCAGCATCAGCAGCAGCAAGGTGACAGTGCTAATTAGGAGGCAATCAGAACCTAGGGTGAAAAGACTGTGGGCGGCGGCGGCATGGGAGAGCGGCCAGACTGCCACAGCAGTAATAAAGACCCACTTTTCCACTGAGAGCACTTTCAGCTAATGAAAATGTGATATAGTCATACGGAATTGTATACAATTCAATTAATTACAGTGTAGTCGTAGTGTGGACACTTACTTCCTAGTTGTAGCAGTAGTCCACTGTTCCATGATTGTCCTTATTACCCAATCCAAAGTGCTTTCACGGTAGAATAAAAACAGTGTCCGAGAAAAGAAAAAAGGAAAAATGACCCAAGTTCTACTTTGCGCTCTTTTACGAGAAGTTTAGAAGTATTTCCCTCACACTACGCCAGAAAGTTTTTGCTGAAACCTAATTACTGTGACTCACAGTCTGTGAGTGTGAGCGTTACATTGTCTGCNCCCACTGTTCCATGATTGTCCTTATTACCCAATCCAAAGTGCTTTCACGGTAGAATAAAAACAGTGTCCGAGAAAAGAAAGAAAGGAAAAATGACCCAAGTTATACTTTGCGCTCTTTTACGAGAAGTTTAGAAGTATTTCCCTCACACTACGCCAGAAAGTTTTTGCTGAAACCTAATTACTGTGACTCACAGTCTGTGAGTGTGAGCGTTACATTGTCTGCTCATCTGATCGTTTCGATTTCGGTTTTATCTTTGTTATTTTACACTGTTGCATAACTTTGAAATGAATCTAAAATTGCCATCACAGATTGTATCTTCGATGCGAGTGGAAAGAAACTTAAAAAGGACTTGGAAGCTTACAGACATGAGCTATCTACGAACGTGGTAAAGTATTCGTGAGCTTCTTCACATTGATCATCCCAAAACTAAGAATGAAACTAAGACTTTGAATAAAACAATGTTAGACTTACTAAACATTGACTGGAACCATCTGTGTGATGAATCCATTTCTATCAAAAAGAAACTCTATTCTTCACTAACGAGGTTACGAGCGCCACCAAAATCAGCTGCTTGTGTTTAGGTGAGTCACGTGAACTTGAAACGGTGTTTTAGCAAGTTTGACCAAATGACACCTCATTTTTTTGAGTGATGTCCTTGTCAAAGTCAACGCTTTTATTGTCCAATTGCCCATTATTATGTCGTACTACTCATCACATTCATAAACTATTCGTCATCACCACCGTAAGGTCGATCACGTTCAAAGATCTGACTCGAATCGTCTTCGGGTGCTATAAAAGCGAGCTGCTCACGGGCTGCAGTCTTCCATTTCGTCGTTGTCGCTCTGCGAACACGCATCCACCCTCACCCTCACCACCACCACCAACTTTCCACCCCACCACCACCCTTCACCCGAAACAATGT